GATTGTTTTTTGTTGTTGTTGTTGTTAATTGAAAAACAATATCGGATAGCTGAAAACAATGAAAATCATGGATAACGACGACAAGAAGATTGCATTTCGTGGAAATGAAATGAATTTTCTTTCGCTCTGCATAATGAATTTTTATTATCTGGTCCGGTTAATTTTACTTGTCCATTCATTTTCATTAATGGTACACATAAATTTTCATTTTCTTTTTTGTTATTAATTTGAAATCCGTTTTTTTTTTTTTTTTTTGTTTTGTTTTGTTCATTGAATTTGTATGAATAATTGGGCTTGTTGGTAGCCATTTTCATTTTCCATCAAATGCCAAACATGAACAACAACAGAATAAAATGGACAATCAAATTCATAAAGATAAAGAATCTGTGCAATAAAAAAAATAGAAATCAAACAGAATCAGAATTTGATCCAATTTTTTTTTGGCCACAATTGGCATTGTATTTTCTTCTGTGTTGTTTTATCGATGTTTATTGTTTTTTTCTATTCTTGTTGTTCACTCATGTCGAAATAGTTGATTGTTTTTTTTTGAGGGGTGTAAAATAAAAAAAAAGAAAAGAAAATTGGATTGAGGAAGAAAACCATATCCCTTTACAATAAAAATCAAGAATCAAGAATCGAGAATCGAGAATCAAATATCAATTGTCATATCAAATTAGTAGTATCAGAACATGTATATAATATATCAGTTTTCCAGATTGTTGTTTTGCCTCAATTGAAAAAGTTTTGCACTTTTAATTCACAAACAATCAACATCATCTGATAATTTTTTGTTGTGTTCGTCCAAAAGTAAACTTTTCTTTTTCATTTTTCGGCCAACAATTTGGTTTGTACTTTTGAGAAACTTTTTTCTTCGTTCTCTTTTTGTTTATATTGAAATTATTCTTCTTCAATTTCATCCATCATCGTCGAGAATTTTTTCTGAAGATCATTATCATTTGAATCTTTAGAATTTTCTTTCTTTCACACTTTTTTTCGCTTTCTCTTTTTTTCCTTTATTCAATTTTGCCATATGTTCGATTGTTCGATTATTCCATCAATAATTAATATTGTTTTCAATATCGATCTATTCAGAATTTGTCCATTTTTGTCATCATTATCATCGATATATTACGTATTGATCCTGTTTAATGATACAGAATTCAATACACCTGCACATTTAGTGGATTAATGTATATCGATCCAAGTTGAGTGGTGCACAAAAGTATCGATGGAAATAAAATAGAAACGAAAAACTTCCTGGGAAGAATTTTTTCTTGCCAATGTCGTCATTGATGAAGATATATCATTTTTAATCAATCAATCTTTTGATTTAATTATGAATACCACATAGTATCGATGATGATGATTCTAGACTCTTCTTCTAGATTCTTGAGAAACAGAATTCATCAATTTTGAATAAATGAATGTGATTCCTTTCTGTGTGTGTGTGTGTCTGTGTCTGTGACGATGACGACATTTGCGTTTATTTTAATCATATGATAATGACGATGGTGATGATGATGATTATCATTTTTTTTGTTGTTGTTGTTGTTGATAATGGATTCTATTCATTTTATATTTTCACATCAATGAATCTTTATTCTAATGGAAATTTTGTTTTTTTGGTTTTTTTTTTTTTGTTGTTGAATTTCATTTTATTCAACGCCATTTGATTGGTTGTTTGTTTACCGGTTGTTGTTGGTGGTTGTGGTGATCACAGTGGTAGTGGTAATAATGTTATTTTTTTCTGAAGGAAATTGAAAGATTTTAAATCGATAATTTAGTGAAAAAAGATTTGAAAAAGGTGATTATTTTTCCCATTCGGATGATCGAGCCCTGGTTTTTTTTGTCTTTGTGGTTTTTTGTTTGATTCAATTTTTTTGATTGATTTTCGATGATCACGCACAGAATTTTTTTTTTTGTTGTTGCATTTGGTGAATGTGATTTCATATTTTATAAATCATTGAATGTAACTGCAATGCAACAACAACAACAACAACAAAACGACAACAACAACGAAAACACAAAGTTGTTTGTTTGGTTCATATATCATCATTAATTTTATTTACCATCCACGTTTTTTTACCATCCATCCATGATTTTTTTTGACCACATTTACATATTGCACACATACATACACACACACGAATGGATTCATTGCTGTTTGACATTCAAACATTTTTTTTCAATTTAAAATTCAAAAAATTTTTCAAAATTTTCACTCATGCGTGGCTACATTAATCATATTCATAGTTAATGATGATGATGATACGGTAAATGAAAGTGAAAAAAAAATTCATAATTCATTCATATATATGTTAGGTTAGGTATGTTAACCTAACCAACCTAAACAACCTAACCTAATGATAATGATTTTTGTTGCTGAGGCTACTGATTCGTTCGACAACGAGAATTGATTCTAGGAACAAACAAATCTGATAAATAGAGACGAATAAATGATTCTAATTATATTGGTAAACACTGATGATTCATTCATTCATTCATACATTCATGTTATTTACACAGTAAATTACATTTTTTTTTATTATGTATTTTTCTTGGATTCCGTTTCATTCCATTTCATTTCATTTCATATACAACTTGTCCATTTATTATTATTATCATCATCATCATCATCATCAATATCATAAATCATTCATAAATGATTATGATTACATGTTTTTAGCTGTTGTTTATGTTTATGTCAATGTCGTACCATTCCTGTTTTTTTTCATTTATTTTCATATAAATAAATGAAAAAAACACACACACACACACATACACAAACATAGTGACTATTGTTGTTGTCTCTATTACTATTTCTACCGGAAATTATTTTCATCTCATCGATATCATTATTATGTTAATATAGCCATTTTGTGTATGTTTTGGTTGGTCGGTTGAAACGGAAAATAATGGAATATTTTCAATGTTCAATCCTATGATGTGTGTGTGTGTGTGTGTGTCTGATTCTATTTTTATCATCATCGTGTTTTGTTTTTTTTTTGTTTTGTTTTGTTTTTTGATTTCTCCGATTCCTGTTCCTGTTTATTTATTTTATAAAATGAAATTCTATATATTCTCCGGTTTATTGATAACACGAATACGGAGAGAGTGAAATTGTTGTCAAGAATTTTTTTTTTATTTCTCGTTTTTTTCGTTGTCATCCTATAATGTGTATGTTTGAATGTTCCAAGAACAATTAGCGTACAAATTCAAAATGACAGTAAACATTTACTAGTAGTAATGATACACTACCGCTACTGCTACTACTACTACTGACTACCAAATGATGGCTGATTGTAAGATGTTTTCATATCATCCGTTTGACTTTGAAACAAAACAAAAAAAAACGAGAGAGAGAGAGAGAGAAAAAGGATTTTTCCATCAACCCAGTAAAAAAAAAAAATAAAATTATCCCCAAACAACATCCAACAAAATCTTATTTTGGATCATATAATATTGCGTTGGCGTTTATTTTTTTTTTCGTTGTTGGAACAAATTTTCGTTTGTTTTATATGCTTTTTTGGAAGCAATAACGTCTCTCTCTCTCTCTCTCTCTCTCTCTCTCGTTATTGATCTCATTTTCCATCTCCATTCTTTTTTTTAGTATATATTAAGTCAACTACAACGACAACGACAACAACGACGATGAAACACGGACAATTTGGTAATAAATCACTGAAAGATTTTTATTTTTTTTTCTCGGTGTTCAATAGATATTTAATAGCTGGCTGTTTGGTAAGTCGTTTAGTTAGTTGAAAGAAAAAAAAGCTAAAGATTAAGATTGAGAATCTCTTTCGCACATACGCACACGCACACACGTAAAAGTAAAAGAAAATCGAAACGGTGTGTATTTCTTTGTAAGCATTACACGGTTATACACGAATTATATTATCATACACTGTCTTTCTTGGCCCCACATTTAGTATCGGTTCTTGGTACAGATTTTTTTTTATTATTTTTCATATTACAGATTTACTACTACTACTACTTCTACTACCACTGTAACTGCTTCTACTTGACCGTGACCACAAATTTGATTATCAAGATGATACCGTAAATCCGGTGATACGACATGATGATGATCCGATTATATGATGGTGGACAGTGTTTTTTTTTCTCATTTCAATCGTGTTTAACGAAATGTAATGAGATTTTGATTTTTTTTTCATTTCAAAAATTCTTTGGAAATCTTTTTTTTTATGTAAAAAATTTTCTTGTCATTACTTCTGCTGCAAATGATGCTGCTGATATTTATGGTAGTGAAGCCAACTTTTCGCATACGTCTGCTGTGTGTGTGTGTGTGAGTATGAATGATTGCCCAATCACCAGTGAAGTCAACTTGACTTTCGTGCTTGAGTAAAAATTTTTTTTTTTTTTCGAGAAAATTGTGAAATTTGTTATCGATGATTTTTGTGTTTTCTCGGAAAAAAAATTGTTCTCATGTTGTTGTTTGATGTCCACCATGATGAACAATGACATGAATTGACAGGCCTTTTTTTTACTTTTGATCGATAACCACCACTAAATATATATATGTGTGTGGCCACCATCAATTGAATTGCAATGATGATTAGCATGATGATGACGACGCTTGTGTGTGTGTGTGTGTGTGTGTGTGTGTATGTCTACCATCGATTAATCGACCATAAACTCGTTCATCAAAAAAAAAAAAAAGTTGAACTTGAAATATAATACACGCCTATTTGAACAGCAAAACGATAATCATGTCCATCAATTGATTGACCAATGAAGCTCAATAAAAAAAAAAAAAAAAAAATTCAGTCAATTGCGTTGGTCACATGTTTTATTTTATTGAACATTTTATTTTTTTTTCTTTTTGTTTGGCGAGGGTGGATGGATTTTGAATTGAATTCCGGAATTTTTTTTTTTTTTTCATTGAAAAATCAACAACAAAAGACAAATAAGATGAACAAAAAAAATAAAGTAAACGATAACAACAACAACATTGAACAATGTCAATGTTATTGCAAAAAAAAAAAAAAAATTTCTTCTGTGGTGGCGTGTTAACGTCATCGATGATGAACCCCAAGTCGAACAGATGAGTTGAATGAAAATGCGTTTTGAGTTTAATTGAATAAATGTAGTTGATGATGATAATTACGCTACATATTACGGTGACCATCGACTTTGATTTTTTCGTTTCAAAATTTCATGTATCAAAATAGAAATATAACGATGTCAAGCAGCAGTTCGAAAGATGTTCCAACAAAGACCGAACCGGATTCGATTATTGGTATATCAAATCTGAATGAAATAATGAAAGTAATCAATAATATGAATCGCGAAATTCGTAAGTTGCGAAAAGAAGTCAATAAAAATAAAGAACAAAATGCAACATCATCATCATCTGACGAGTTACGATCAGATTTGACCGAAATGGCTAATGTTTTGCGACAATCAAAATCAACAAATTCAAACGTACAATTACAACCATTGTGGGCTGACGATCCTGATGGATGGTTCTTATCTTGTGAAGCGGCTTTTAACGCTCAGGGTATTATCGATGAGAAACAAAAATATTTCAATATCATTCGGGCTTTGAATAAAGATCAATTAGCTAGCGTACAATATGTACATGCTATGCCATACGTTCCTGGACATTTGCAAGCATTGAAATCGGCATTGATATCCGCGTATAAGCCAACTGAAGGAGAAAGAATGAACAAGATTCTGGCTAAGACGTCGTTAGATTTTGGTCAACGACCTTCGGCAGCATACAGACAAATGGTTAATTGGGCCGAGGGTATTTTGGATAAACGAGTGGTTATGTCTCTTTGGTCGAAATTACTACCTGATAACATTGCTCCCACAATTTTTCAAAACATTAATTACAAGGATTTAACTGATGAACGTATACGTCGTATTGTGGAATCTGCAGATGAATTAATGGCACGTCATGGTGATAAAAAACATGTAAATTCAATGAATCGATCGAGAAAATCATCACCATCTCGTTTGTCGGATTCGAATAAATCATCATACATACCAGCTTCACTTCGTTATTATTATTATTGAGCAATTTTGTCAATTGAAATTTTCACCATTCCATTTGGATCTGTGAATTTTATGTTCATGTTCATGTGTCTGTGAATAGATTGAATTTTTTCTTCCTTATAAATGCATTAGTTAGGAATAAATTCTACTACGAATTTGTGATTCGTTCATTCAAAATTATTATTGCTTTTTTCTTTCTCTATCCATCTTCGATTCTCAGTTGAATAAATTTCTAAGAAAAAAAAAATTCTTCATCATTCCAATTACGCATACCGTTCTCTTTGGTTCGTTTCTTTTTGACACCTGAATTTTTTTTTTTTTTTTTTTGACTCACCGATTGATTGATTACAATCGAATTGTATGTTTGTTTTGGTGTGTATAAACATGAATACCACCACTACTACTAGTACTACTATTACCACCACCACTACTGTTGCTTGGAAAGAAAGATTCAAATTTTGAAAATGGAAAACGTTTTTCTACTGGTTCAATTTCAAATTCTGAATTTTTTTTTGTTTTAATCGATTCTGATGAATAAATTGTTTATTGGAATTTTGGATTTTTTTTCCATCTTTGTACTTGACATTACCGAAGAAGAAAAAAATTCCAATGATTGATGATGATCATGAGGAAAAAAAATTTTTTTTTTTTTTTTTGTTCAAAATCAGCTCAAGACACCGAAAAAGTGAATGAAGAAATGGCCAAGTCAAAGTCAGAGAATAAAATCGAATGAAAAATTTACACAATAAGACAATTATCGATTATATAAAGTTTTTGTTTTCCACAATTTTCATCATAATTTCATAAGTCACGATACGTTTAAAACGAATGTAAACGTTGAAAAAAAAAATTTCGTTTTTGTTTCAATCTAAATATAATGTACGTATTCCGTGATATTGGCAATATTTATTCTCATTTTCAATCTGCAGAAATCATCCGCATCAATTTGGTCTGAATTTTGCAATAAAAACGGTGTAGAATGGAATGGTGTGTGTGTTTGAATGCAATATTTGTTTATATTTGAGTGGGACGCAGGGGAAAATGAAAATATTTTCCCAACTCTCAATGAAATGGTAAAAAAATTGACTATCATCATTTAATTGAATCATTAAAATGTGTGGATACTCGAATAAAAAACGAAACAAAATTGAAACGAATGATTTGAATGTTGATTTTGATGATGATGATGATGATGATGATGACGGTAAAACACACACACACACACACAGACGTGTGCATCTTGCATAATTTTTTGTGGAACATGAAAATGAAAACATTATTCCCGTCATCATTATCATTGACAAAAAAAAATGAATTCCATCCATGCATATGGATAGTAGTAGTAGCAATGTAATTTGTATAACAAATCATCATTGGCTAAAGAATAAAGAAATGAAATGAAAATTGTTCCAATGGGAATCGATTCTATTCAATGAGTGAATGAATGTAAATGATGATGATGATGCAAAACAAAACGAAAAAAAAAATTCCTGTTGACAATAAAAAAAAATCCATAAAAATTGATGAATAATTAAAATTTCATTCAACAACAACAACACACACGCATTCACACGAAAAGAATATTCTTCTTTCGAATTGGCCATCCACATTCACATTATTCTTGTTATTGTTGATGTTTACATCTTAATTGGTTACCATTTGGATATTCTTTCGTTGTTGTTGTTGTTGTTGTTGTTGTTGTTGTTGTGAATCAAACAAAATTCTCACACAACTGCACCTGCCTCTTTTTTTCCATTTTGCACTTCACATTTGTTTTTCTACAATTTAATTCGACAATTTGATGCTAAAAATAACAAACAGTGACAAATTGAAACAAAGAGAAAAGATGAGAAAAAAAATGACGTCAATTTTTTAAAATTCCAGGAAAAAAAACTTTGATTGTTTTTGATCAAAAAAAAAAAAAAAAAAAAACAAAAACCAAACACAAAAAAAAATCAAAACACAAGAGATTGTATTTCGTTCAACAACATTTTACTGATTTATAGAATGATTGGTTCATTCATTCATTCATTCATTCGTTGGTTGGTTGGTTGATCGATTTGGTGGAAAACATGCATTTCACGCTCTATGATGGCTGTGGTGGTGTGGTGGTACTAAAAGTGTTGTTGTTTGGTGAAATTCTCTTTTAACTCCATTTCAGAATTTTTTTTATTTTAAATTTGTGATGGTAATGATGGTTGATGAGCATGGAAAAATTTATTCAAACGGAAATTCAACATTGTTGTTGTTGTTGTTGCTGTCGGGATGGGCTTTGTTTTTTTTTTTTTTTTTTGAAAGAAAAAAAACATTTATCACGAATTTTTCTCGTTTGTTTGTTTTTCTGTTTTGTTTGGAAAATAAATTATTTTTTTTGTTTTGGCGCCGATGATTAATTATAGTCGAATGATTTCAATGAAAACGACCGACGACTGAGTGTGTGTGTGTGTGTGTGTGGAATAGATTCGTTGCCATTTGTTTTTTGTTTTTGTTTTTCATAATGAAATTCTTTCCTGTTAAGATTAAGATTTTCATTATCTTACGGAATTTCAGTACATTTCATTCGATCATTCGATCATCATCATTGGTTCTTATTAATCATAGAAAAAATGCTGCTCACCTTGCCATAATTGATAAACAGAATCCATAAACAACAACAACAGCAACAACAAAGATAATTTAATGTGCCTAAATCCGTACCGTAAAAAAAACCGTAGGAAATTTTGGTCTTTTGAAAATTCTCATAACTTATCGGATTAAAAACGACAACGACCACAACAACAACAACAACAACGACGACGACGATACAGATACGGTGATAAATAACAATGGACGTTAATTGAAAACAAACAAAATGGTGGAAAAAAATTTTTTTGTAAACATGGAAAATCACTTAGAATTTTTTTTTCCAATTTTTTTCGTCAAAATTCTATTTTTTTCATGTGGTTTTTTTTTGTTCTTTGTTTGTTGATTTTTCGAATTTTAATCGATTATATTTATATTTCGATGAACAAATTTTTTTGGTCATGATTCAATCCGATTTTAGCAGTGAAAATTGTATGATTTATGCGTGAAAACATAAACAAACAGCAACAGTTTGTGTGTTTTCCCATATATATATATGAACATCATCAAACAAATTCGTTGATTCTTCTGTGTGTGAAATAATAATAATGTGGCCATTTTTACATTCACAATCATTGATGATCACGATGATTATTATTCTGTATCATCAATTGAATTTCATACAAACATTAGTACATTATGTTCGTAAAGATAATGGTCAAAATTATTCATATAATGATTTTAGCCACCTTTCTGGCTGTGATGGTCCAGTATCGATGAAATTTTTTATCGATAAATTATTATCGATGGCCATTATTGATGATACATTGTATATTTATCAAATGGATCATATTATCGGCATTTATCCGGGCATATCATGGCGTTTTTCGCCACAATTATCCGGTATCTATCTAATGGACGGTATTTATCATGATAATCACCGTTATTATCCAACAATAGTTGATGAATGGCCATTGGATCGAATTGTTAATGAAATTTTTAATCCATTATTTAATGTTGATTCATTTGTGAAACTTGTTGAAGGTGATTTGTCTGAATTCAATCAAATAGTTCCTACATTGTGGCCAAAAACAATAACGAGAATGCGCAATGATGTTAGAGTGACAATTACACGATCAGATCGATTGGATAATGATCAACAACAACAACAATTATCATCATTATCTATGAATCAATCTGGTTGGTTATATTTATCCAAATATTATACCGATGATTATATGATACATTTTTGGCTACGTAATAAACAGACCAATACTGGTTTCAAACATTATATGTATTATGAACATGAACATGAAGAATCAATCACTTTTGGTGAGCTACGTAGTCCTGATGATGAAAAATTCAATCTAATCACAATGAATATTGATGGTGAATTCTATGCACTGGTTATCGCATTGAACCCGTATGGCCAAAAAGGTGTCTATAAAGTACGAACATATCGTGGATCACCACGTCTGAACGAACCATATGGTGAAATTTGTCAGAAAAACAATCCGAATTCAGAAATTATTTATTTGAAATTAAATCTGGATAAACAATGTGAACATTTGACAGCAATGACATTGTTTGAAAATATTGAATTCGGTCTAACTATTAACGATGATCATATTTATTTTATTTCCATTGATAAAGAAATTTTGTTTCGTGTAAACAAATCCATTCTGGCCGCCGTCGAGATGGCCGAAACGGCATTTGTGATTGAAAGATTGGAATTTTTACGATTTTTCCTATGCTTTTGGCCCACACGTTGGCCATTGCCGGGACTATCATTACAATCAATCGAAATGGTAAACGATAGTTTTGTACCGAAATTTTGGCTCCGTCAACATTTTGCCAAGATCGATAATATCATAGTCATATTGATCATAATAAAATTTATGGCCATCTCATTATATATGTTGTATGTTTGCGGTGTACGATTGCCTGAAGAACTGCTGTTGTCAACATTATCGACAAGATCATTTGAATGGATCACCACCACCGCACATCATTAACACTTTGTGTGTGTGTGTGTGTATATACTTGCTAATGATTGGGAATTTTTTTCTTAAAAAATAAAATTTTTTCAACAACCAAATTCTGTCGATAAAACACTGGATAAATGTCAACATTTTTTTTTCTTAATGATGATATTATCTTGTCATTCATTCATTTTACTATTAGCTATTTTGTCAATAATTTGGGTCTTGATTTTTCTTTTTCTTCTTCTTTGTTTTTGTTTTTGGCCTTTAGTTTGATCTGTAAAAAAAACACACAAACATTCATGTGTGTCATGTTGATGATGTCTTCCGGATAGACAACAACAACAACAACAACGGCAAACACTTAGTTTAATTAGAATGCTGTTGATGCTGATGATTCTGTGTGTGTGAACAGAATCAGGAAACTTGCCTCGAATAGCATAGAATCAAAATCAATGAGAAAAAAAATGTCAGCAAATTCTGTGTGTGTGTGTGTTTTTTATTATTATCATTCTCGTTCGTTGTCATCGTTTTCTTAGATATTCTTCTTCATGGGATGATCCATTCATTCATTCATTTTTTCCGATCATGATTCATAATACATAATTCTTGCTGACACATTACACACGAACAATGAATGTATTTTTGGTCGGTCATTTCTAAAATTCTTACAATCTGAATGTTGATTTTTCTTTGATATGATGATGATGAATTTTTTTTTCATGTTTGTTTGCATTCATACACACCATGTGGTTGTGCAAAATGTGGAATTTATTTCTCCATTTTTTGTTGTTGTTGTTATTGTCACATTGACAACAACAACAACAACAACAAATAAAATGAAAGCAATGAATAACTCTGTGACTGTATAATGTACTGTATATTTAAAAAACAGTCATATCAAGAATATGTGACTGAATCATCATCATCATCATAATAATCAAAGACCAAGCAGAAAAAAAAAAAAAAAAAAAATTCTAACATCATTTTGACACGCAAACCTCATTTCAATGTCAGAAATATAAAAAAAACAATGAATTTTTGTTTTAAAAAACAAACACACACAACAGCGCCCTCTTTGACTCAAGAATATTCTCTAGTTTTTCAGTTTTTGTTGTTGTTGTTGTTGTTGTTGATAACAGATTGACAACATTATTTTAAATTGAATTAAATTTAATTTAAATCAAATAAAAAAATTTTTTTTTTGACAATTTCAATCAATGTGAAAATTATTTCAACAACAGCAATCACGGAAATGGAAATTTTTTTTTCTCACTTCATTCAATTCACAAATCTCGATCGACAATGTTCCAATGAATTTTGTCGCTCGGTTTTCTGTTCTTGTTGTTGTTGTTGTTGTTGATCAACTTACCTGAGCATACATGGTACATTATGGAATCCAGAGGGAATTTTTTTTCCGTTTGACAAATTCCATGTTTTTTTCTCTGCTTTTTTCCCAACTACTACCTGATAATGATGTTGAACATTCCTTGAATTTTTTTTTCTTTTCGTAATGAATTTAACGTTTTTTTTTCTTCTCTCTTTTTTAGGATTAATTCAACATCTGTATATTCATGAAAAAAAATTCCTATGAATGGGCCCATTGAATGAATTTGGCTGAATGAAATCATCGTGATGGTTGTCTGAAAAACCAAACGATCCATCGATCGATTGTTTGATCGATATTTGTGCATCGATTTTTTTCTGAATTGTATTCCACTGTGATAATTCAAACGGAAAAAGATTGATGGCCCCCAACAAATTTTTTTTATGTACCAAAATTCTTGGTATGATGAAGCGAAGAAAAAAAAATTCAAAAATCATACGACAATCATTCACCATCATCATCATCATTAATCGATCATGAATTGAATGAATCAATTTGAATAAATAAAAAAAAAAAAATGAAAAGTGAAATATGAATGAAGAAAAATCATTGAAACAACAACAACAACAACAACAACAACAACAACAACAGCATCAGCAACCAACAAATAATGATGATCAGAAATGGAAACGACATCAATTTAAGAATTTGAGACAAAAAAATAATCCCAATCAATCAATGATAATGATTGATATGACAGGAAATATTGAAAATCTAGATGAACCGGATGATGATACAAATGAAATAACATCCATATTGACAACCGCTACGACCACTGCCAAAATGATGATGTTACAACAACAACAACAACAACATCAACAACAGCCACAATTGATATCCGATTCAACAACATTAGAATCAACTTCCGATGTTAATTTTGGCGCCACATCACCAATACCAACATCAACGGCAACAACACAGCAACGATTATATAATAATCGTTTACAACAACATCCACCACCACCATTACGATTGAAAAAAATGTCACCAACATTTCAAATGTATTCCAGTGGTACAGCCATTAGACGTACATTTTCCATACATTATGATCAAATGATTGATCCATCAATTAATAATAGTGGTGGTAGTGGTAGTGGTAGTTATTCCACAACAACAAGTGGGAGTGGTGGTGGTGGTGGTGTTAATGATTGTAGTTCAATTGATGAATTCATTTCATCACCAGATTTATTATCATCATCATCATCGTCAGCTGCTGCTGCTGCTGCTGCCACCACATCATCATTACCAAATGTAAATAATAGTGGTGATTATCGTAATCAAAAATCATCGACAATAATCAAATGTCCATCATTACCAAATTCACCATTACCAAAATCATTTACATTGAAAATGGCAACAAATACTACTACGACTACGACTACAACGTCAACGTCAACAACCACGACTACGACTGGTAAACAACGTCGTTATCGTCTTACAAAACGTCGTACAATGCCTGGTCGATCAAATTCAGTACCATTTCGTCCGGAAATTGAACAAAATATTAAAAATGTTGATGATGGAGATGATGATGATTCACATTGTTCACAAACAACAACAACAACATCATCAATGAATGCAACAACAACATCGCCATCTACGCCAAGATCAATTGATACACCTGGATCGGCAACAAGTACCGGTAGTAGTACATCATCGAATACAAGTTTACGAAAATTCACATATGGATCAATGGAAACAACATCATTTTTTCATAAACGTTTCAATCAAACAATCAGTTTTCTGCAACGACAAAATAGTTCAGAAGAAGCAATTAACGAACAACAACAACATCGGCTACAATCATCACCATCACCATCACCGACAGCAGCAGCGTCAACAACAACGACAACAACAACAACAACAACAAATATATTACGTTCACCATTACGATCAAATCGTTTTCTACAATTTTCACATCATAAATCCAATTCATTACCGGCAAATGATCCAACAACTACGACTACTACTTCTGCTATTACCACTACGATTGCTACAACCACAGCGATTTCCGATTTACAGCAACATCAACAACAATCAATGATGATGGCAAATTTATCTAAAACAAATTCCACTGAAAATGTTCTGATTAAACAACGTACAATTGATTGTTCATCATTATCATCACAAATAACAAAGAATGATGATGATGATGAATTAATGACGGTGGGAAAATCAGCAACAACAACAACAACAACAATGAGTTTAAATGTACCAAACATAATAATTATCGATAATGATGATGATAATGATCAATTTGGTCTTGGTAATCTTGGTGTTTGTGATAATTTGTATGATGTTGGATCCAAAACATCATCGATCATCGTCGGTATTCGGTAAGTGGTTCAAACAATTTTTTTTTTGAAGAATTTCATATTCCAAAACAAAAAAAAAACACTAAATTCCTCATGAAATTCGATATATCGATTATCACGATTGTTTTTGATTGACAATATCAAATTCGTGATGAGTTAGGGAATTTTTTCTCTCATTTCTAAACATCATACACTTTTTCCTCCCCATTCACTTCCCCCACACCATATTTGATTTGTTTGTTTTCATCGTAACATCTTGTTCTCTTGTTTTCTTGTTGTTGTTGTATTGTCAATCGATTTATCGATTTTTATGAATAATATGAACAACAACAAACAACAAACAGTCATAAATAAATGTTTGTAACACCCAAATATTTGAACAAAGCAAAGTCATCACTTTTTTACAACAACAGAAACAAAAGCCGCAAGCCAAAATGTCACTCTATCTATGGATGATGATCATTGATACAACTTTAGTAGCAATCTGCAAAAAAAAAAATTAACACCAGACTTTCAGCTCTGAAAATTTTAAACTTTTTTTTTCGTCCACTACAGTTTCGTAACACTGTTATTGCTATATATATATACAGTGGAAATAGATAAGAGATTGTTGAACTCTTTTTCAATGACCAAATGAGCAAGCAAATAAAATGAAAATGGAAAAAAAATAATAGAAACTTTGGTCAATCCAGATGGCCAGCGATTTTTTTCCATTTTAAATTTTTAACATTTTCACGCATAGATTGTAAAGTTTCTGCGTGTGTGTGTGTGTGAAGAAGATATTCTGTGTGTTTTTATCGAGAAACACAAAAAAAACCAATTTCATTTTTGACGTTTTTATCTCCATTCCCATTTCCATTTCCATTTCATTGATGGACGGAAAAAAACTTTACTTTTAAATTTTTTTTTGGAACGAAAATTCTGTGATTCAACAATTCAACAACAACAACAACAACAACAATCACCATAACACTTTTTTTGTGTACTATTTTGTTGAATTCCCAATTGAATTGGATAATAATGATGACGTTAAGAAAACATTTTAACTTCTTGTCGTTGTTTGTTGTTGTTGTTGTTGTTGTTGATTCTTAATTCTTGATTCTAGACGCACACACACACACACACACATTCGAATTGATTTGATCTTCATATTTATTTATTCAATTTTTTCATTCATTTATTCATTCAATCAATCAATCAATTGTTCATTGATTGATTCTATTTATAGAAATTATTATTTTTTTTTTGAATATTCTTGTTTTGACTATTTTGACTTGTCTAACCATTCTAATCTAACTGGTTATTCAATGGAAATGTTTTTGTTTTTTTTTTGCTATATTTTTCATGAATATAAATTCTGTGTTGGAAT